TCGGGCCTGCGCAGCTGTGCTGCGGTTGGTAAAGAAATGTCTATTAGAGTCTGGCTTTTTGGGGCAATGTAGGTGGCTTTCGCTGCACGGGTCCAAGAGTTAAGCTGAACGAGATCCCATTGTTTCACATACGTAATTAAGGCCTCTTGGTCCGCTGGGGGGTCGTATTGTACTGCCTAACTATAGATCCCACTTGCCCATTCATATACGTCATGGGGGTGCTGGAAGTCGCCTCCCACCAAACAGACATGCCTGTCAGGGATGTTGGACATGGTTTGCTGCAGGGCTTCCCATACCTCTCCGCGTTCTTTCTGGGCATCTTTGGCTGGCTGAGTTTGCCCGGCATAGTAGACGTTCTGATATACATTCAGGAGATCAAGCGTGCAATTCGAAAAGTGTACTCGTGTGTGCATTATCCTGCCCTGATGCGGATTGGCAACCCTAATTTGATCGGGCTGGGCAATTTTACTGAAAACCAAAACCGCCAATCCTCCCGTGTTGGGCTTGTCTTCAAAAGAAGAACACATAACACGCCAATCTTTGGTTGAAAAATCATTGTTGCATTTCCAATGTGTTTCCTGCAGCAGCTGAGGCTCTTGCGCATTAGGGAGGGACTCCAGTTCATTCAAAAGTTCATCACACGCGTCTGTGCTTACTCCTCCCGCGTTCCAGCTCAATATGCGCAAGCATCTGGCATCTGCAGGCGGGTGCTTAATGGGTATTTTCCTTTGGAAAAACTTTTTGAAGGTGATCCCCAAGGTACTTTTTTTGAGTTCAGTTTGTGTGACCCACCTACCCTTATACCAAGTACGAGCGTATGTCTGGGCCCTACGCATTGCTCTGAGAAATGTTCTTTTACGTGGTCTGGATATTGTCTGGGCATTTGTGTCCAGCTGAAACGGGCCAGCTGCTCCAATCACTTTCGCCTGACCCAAGACAATTAGTACCCCAAGCAAAAAAACCTCCTAGGCCTGAGTACAACGCATGCTGATGCCGGCCTAAGCCGGCCTTTGTTCCTTCCCGGCTGTGGACTCGCCAACCACGGGGGTTGGACAAAAGCCCAGAAGCAGAGAACGCCACCTCTGCTGGCTCGGCGCCTCCATGGAGTTGCAAACCACGGAGGTTTAGCCGGTTATCCGCAAGCCTCACAGCCACTGCAGGCCCAGAGCACCCATTGCACAGCAACTGGAAGATGAGCTGGACAGTGGCCCCAGCCCCCAAGATGCCCAAGCTCTAGCCAGGGTTCAGTAGAGCAACTGGGCGATGCGAGCCTAAGTGCTGGCAGACCCCGTGAGCACGACTGGCAACAGCTGGGATAAAAAGAGCGGCCGCATTCCGGTGAAACCGTCGAGGCCAGGATGATTTCGCACCTGCAGAGAGCTTTCAACCTGGACGTGCAATGGTTGATTACCCACGACTCTGCCCTGGGATACCAGGCTCAGCTGCCCAATTTTTTAAAGCCGCGCTCTCAGACCAATTCATATGTGACAACATAAGCTCCAGGCCAACAAGTGGAGCGCCTTCCGGGAAGGTCCCCGACCCCGCTGGACGACCTGGCACAGAGGGCGGCATCCCTTCTTGCCACTGACGAGTACGAGATGGCGACCAAGCGCTCTCCCAACTCCATGCCAGAGGAGGGGACCCCATTCCACACAACGACGACGTTTTCATCGGAGCCTCACCAAAACCCTGTGGGTGGGACCCGAAGACCTCGAGGAATGGGTGGAAGACCGCTTCTATGAGATGTGGCCAGCTCCAATTGTTGGTTGGCATATCGTGGTCAAATGTGCGGACAGCCTGGTGGAGCCCACAAGAGCCACCATAGTGTGGATTTCGTACAAAATGGTAGGGCCATCTACCGGTATGCCAGGGGCTTCCCCTACCGACTCCTGCCACCGTCATCGGAGGCTGAGCCCACCCCAGTGCCCAGCGAGCCCTCGAGTAGCACATGGCAGAGGGGCAGCGGGTGAGGCGGAGCACGCCACCTTAGCCCACAGAACCTGGTATCGAGGTTCAACCTCTCCCCAGAAGCAGCATAGTCCAGCCTCACTGGGTGTCACCTAACAGGGTGACTACATTTAGGTGCAGGTACTGGTCTCTGCCCCAGCATGGTAAGCAAGGCCAGGGGGGCGTAGCACCGAGGGTAAAGTCGATGCCAGATCCCCTAGGGTAGATCCACCGGACCTCTGGGCCAAAGCGCCTCTAAACTCGACTCGCCTACTGGCGGCGATTCGCGATCCCTGGAATCGTCATAGCAGTAAGAATAGTAGTAGTACTAATATAGTAGTAGCAGTAGTAGTAGTAGTAGTGGTGGTAGTAGTAGTACTACTACTACTACTACTACCACCACTACTACTACTGCTTTACTACTGACACAAGTCAATATAGTATTAATGGTAGAAATAAGAGTATTAATGGTAGAAATAACAGGAATAGTAGGTGGCAGTAATAGTCGTGATAAGAAAATACTAAAAATAGTCATGGTAATAGAATAGTAATAATAATGGTGATAATAGTAATTATATCAATAATATTAATAACAAGAAAAAAGCCAAAACAAAATTCAATAATAGCAATGACAGCAATGATTGCATTAAAATACCAATACCAATAATACCAATAATAATGATAATAGTCAGAAGAATAATGTTGTTTTGACCATTCCTATTGTACATCCAAGCTACCAAACATGTAACTTTACTACGAGTAACAATAGCCCTCAAATATGAAGACTACTTGTAATCCCTCTCCCTCCCTCTATTCCTTCCTTCCTTCCTAATAATTTTCTGATTGTTGTATTCCTCCGGAAGGCACAATTTGTTTGATGCTGCAATAGTTGCTTTTTTGATGGCTTATTACAAATTCTTGTTAACCCATATCCCGCGCAAGATCGGTTGGGAAACTCTCGCTCGTCGCATCTCTCATCTGCGGTTGATGCGGCTGCTACATCTCAAGGAATGATGTTCCATCAAATGTTATAGCAATTGCCCTCCCGGCCATGCGCCAGCAACAGTCACAAATGTAGAGATCAAAGGTGATGCTCTGGAACCACCACTAGGACTAGCATGGCAGCCAGTATGATCTTCCAACAATCCAGGGTTGCTCCACCCTCCAGGATGAACGATCGTCCCTGTTCCTGGGAGTCTCAGAACCTTCTATTGTCAACTGCGCCTGCTTCAAGGCCCCTCGGCCCAGGTAGGCACGATTCCAGCCACGGCTAGGGGAGCCCCACAGCTGGACCTGGTTGCTGCTCGAAAACGAATTTTTAGACTTTGCAGGCTTGCAGTGTCAAGATTCATGCCTGCTCTGAAGGGCAAAGGGAGTATGCTGCCAGCTTGCTGCTGCCTTGTGGAACCTATCCATAATGTTCCCAAACCCCATCAGGCCGAAAGCGGATTCAACACAAGGCGCACCATGCGCACCTCATGCATGTCATCTTCGGGGCGGTAGCGCAACAGCACTCCTTCAGAGGACATGGGGCCTGGTTTGGCTTCAGTGATTTGGGACATGCGCCGCTGGAGAGCGACGAGTCTAAAACGCCAGCTACGGCAACGAAGCTGGCAAAGGCCTGGGCGACCTGGATTGGGGATCACTTGGGCTTGCAGATCATAGCCCAATGCAAGATGAACCTCGTGTTGCGGGAACCCAAGTGCTTCCCGGTTTGGCCGTGCGTGGATGGCATACTCGAGGAAGGTTCTCAAATGCAAAGCGCCCACAAGTTGCTTCTCCGTGAATGTGGCATCAGTTTGTTTTCCAGGCGCCTTGTTCAGGGGTCAAGCTTAGGTCCAGTTCGTGACACAGTCCTCCGCCCCAAACTACAATCACTGGATTGATTGGCCCCTGCCTCAATTATCCAGCAAAGCCTGAACATCCTGCAACTGCAGGCCATGACGCTCAGTCCCATGACTGCTCGTGCGCCTGGTCCGAATGATGTGGCAACACAGCTGCCAAGCGGGCCTTAAGACTCGGCGGAGAACAAGCTATGCAATCATTGCAAGCAGCCGCGGCGCGTCTTCTCTACAAATTATCGCGCTTCGGTGCTTTCAGGCCGGGTTGCAGAAAGAGCTCCGGCTCACATCGCTCCGGCGCAGCGCACACCGCACGCGCGCGCCGTGGCAGAGACGCCACGATAGGGCCACCTGCGAGAAGAACCGACAAACACATCAAAATCGCACCTCAACACTTACAACTGAAACTGCCGGGAGACTTGCCTGTAGGTGTTCATCCTCTCCTGGATCCGAAACACAGATGCCCCACCCGTAAGGCGTCAGCACAAAACATCCGCGCAAATCTTTCATGGCTCTGGCATTACCTACAATGCTGAGCTGCTGCTCTTTCGGAAGTTTGGTTGCACTCTGGGTGGGCTTGTGAGTGTAATGGTGCGCAGCTTGACTTGAGCATGCTGAGCCCACATCAACATGCCGGACCGAATCGGTGCTTTCAGGTTTCACAGGTGTGGCTCAGGTTCGTGGATTCGGGCATAGGATGTGAGGGTATAGTTGCAAATGCCCATGCTGGAGGCAAACTCGGCTAACTGCCTCTCAGGAGCTGCCACAACGAGCAACTCTCAACCTAAGGTCTGGAGCTTTCTGACAGTACCGCATGCTGGAGATCAGGGCGGCAGGTTCGCAGAACTTCTGCAAGAGACCAGTGTTCACGCCAGGCAGTGTTCTACCGTCACACGCCAACCATTAATCCAAATTTGTGCCACTAGCCACCAGCTTGAAGGCTTCTTGGACAGACCGACATAAAGTCTTGCTGAGAATTCTTGCTTTTCAGAAGCACGCCAATCATGAGTGCTCCCACCATGATACACCGGCCAGGTTCTACATGCAACATGAAGCTGAAGGTCTCTGCGAGCAGCCAGGAAAGAAATCTATAGCAAGTACATTCCTGCTGTGCAGATCCCTCTTTCAACAACATGATGGCGATATCAGGCCATCGATTTGCAGATCACTTTGGTGGTAGCACTGCCTTGTGGGAATACATGGCTGGGAGGCGCTGCTGTAGTAGTCTTCCGCGTCATCAACCTTAATCGCCCAAGCCATGGTTAGCATACGTTAGCATGCGTAACAAAGAACAAGTCAACAAAATTGTGCAGGAACCCCATGTGCACGCGCAAAGTTCTGCAACCGATTGATGGCCACAAGGGCCTGCAACATGTATCCCCCCTAAGTTAAGACTATATATCCTTTGCCCACAGGCTAATCTGAACCGACCTTGACCAAATTCAAAACGAACAAACTCGCACACATGTGGGTGAACACCTCGTCCGATGAATATGTCAAGGACCGGGGACTTGAAGCCTATACTAAAGTTTTTGCACACAGGCTTCTGCAACATTAGGCAGCAGAGATCCAGGGAGTGATGTCAAATCTTGGCAAACGATTGAACGCAGCTTTCGTTAGAAAAGGATCTTACACAGTATGCACAAGTCCTGTTTGCTGCGAGCTGCTGGATCGTACCCCAAAGCTTCCACCGTGTCCTCTGCACAATTCCAAACAATTAGAGGCCTGCACATCTCAACTGGCAGCGTCAGAGAAAGCCACCAAAAGTCCCCGGCTTCTGCACAAATGAAGAGTGTTCGTTGGTGAGTGCAGGCGCTTAGCATGACCCCTGCCAAGGATGACACGCACAATGGCCAACAACGTTGGCTCAAGAATTCCGAAGAGCAGTGAAGGTTGAAAAGGTTTAGTGTGTGTGGTTGATGATTGATGGATGGGTGAAGGTTTCGGTAGTGGGCCTCTAGAGACCTCATCCGACCCTACAGCAGTTTAGATGACGTACCGTACTCTGTACGTGCAAGTTTGCAGCAAGGTTCCCGAGGATCTCCAACACCTACCCACTACTCCATTGTATCTTCCCCATCACCCTGGCCATAACCAGCAGGTTATGAGCCCAACAGCTCAAACCACCACTCCGCAAGCACACTCAACTGTACACATCTCATCACCTTCGCAACCTGCACCCTCAACCTCTCAGCATCAACCAGCAGCAGCAGCAGCAGCAGCAGCAGCTACAGCATCGCATGCAGTCCAGGCAACCACCCAAGCAGATGGAAGCTGTGTGTGGAAGCAGTTATCCCAAGTGGCGATTCCCTCAGAACTGCTATCTAGATTGGAGGCGGTGCGAACTACAGTGCTGAGACAGCTGCAGGATTTGGATCATGTCAGAGCAGGCCTGACTGGCCTAGCAGACGAGCCAAACTGTTGGGAAATTGCGTGCAGAGGCTGGGAGCAAATGCATCAATGCAGCAAAGTCAGCTGAAGAGCACTGCGGATGCGCCACAAGCTCGCAGAGAAAAGGACATCAAGCAAGACGAAGCAATCCACCATCTAGGGCAAGAGCACAGGCAAGAGCATAGTAGAACGATGAGTCTATTGGGAGCCTTTGAGAAGGATATGAAGCAGTCTTGGGAAAACACGATGCGCGAAACCCCGAGCCTATACGAAAAACTTCATGTGTTGGCAGCTGGACATGCAGCTATCGAAGGGGTTTTCTCAGAGTTCGCATCCAAGGGCAATGAAGAACAACTTCAGAACATAGTCAAGTTTCTTGAGCGGCAGACAGCTGAGCTTGAACGACGCATGGGAGCTCATGGTACCCAGGATTCAACAATCGCTCAACTCAAACTTAGCTTGGAAGAATCCCGGCAGGCCACAACCTTGTAGCACCAAGCACCCCTGCAGCTCAGGGGCCACAATCTTTTGTATTGTCAGCTCCGAAGATAAGAGAGGCATTCAAAGATGACCAATATGATCAGGAATGGCCAGCTGAAGAGCACTGGAGGAAGGCACCCCCGGGTTGCGACAGGGACTATGATCCTCCACCATTGCCGGACCACATGGCAAAGCGTCCAGCACCTAAGGAGATTAAGATCAATCAATCCCTTATGAGTTACTGTTGGACGTGCCAGTCTTGGATATGTCAGCTGGTGGAGAACCATGGGAGGTTGGGTTGAAGGTCGTCAATCAATGGAGGATCGAAGCTCGGACAGTGCTGAGCGCTATCCACACCGAGCTCAGAGACTACTTGGATTCCATCTGCGGCCAACGACGTGAAAGGTACGAACCAAAGCGATTGACTGGACATGAAGACACACTGCTTGAGATTGAACCACAAAATCAAGAACTTGAAAAAAGACTTTCACTTAAGCTGTTGAGGAAGCTCCCCACTTCAGTCAAAACGCCGGTCTTGGAGTCATGTGTTACGGCTTGAATCATTGCAAGAGCGCTTCGCACCTGGTGGAAAGGAAGAAGTGGAATCAATCCAAAGGTTTCTTCATCAGCTGCCATCTGCGACCGATGCAAAGCACGCACTGACGAGCTTCGTCGTTGAAAGCTTGCCCGTCAACGGGAGCTCAGTTTGAGTCTACCTGATCAAGCTCCGAACGAATCAATCTCAGCACTTGACTCGCCCATCCGACAGTTGGAGGAGAAAAACCAACAGCTGAGCATGAAACCAACTTGCTCCGCATGCAGCCGGACATCATCATTCCGAACAACGAAAGGAGTGGACCGGTTTCTTGCACTCATTGAATCAGAATGCCGGAGACTGGCTTCGGATCAAGAAGTGCGTGATGCCCGAGCCGCTAATGGCACAGAAACTATTCCTTTTGCTGATGAAGCAGCAGCTGGTCGTCGAAGGTGCTTATTCTATGGCAAGCCTGGAGGACGTTGGTGTGGCAAGAGTTGCACTTTCCTTCATGAGGATGGCGAGGGCAAGGGTAAGGGTAAGGATAAGAATGGCGAGGGTAAGGGTAAGAAAGGTAAAGAAACGGGTACGGGGAAGCTGAGAACAATAACCCTGAACCTAAGGCCACAGCCGAGCCTAAGCCCAAACCTAAACCTAAACCCAAGCCCCAGATCGACGGCAACACGCGGGGCCTCTTGGCCGGGCGGAGCGCCCACTCCGTCAACAGGGGTTCGACCTCGACGCAAACAGCAACAGCAGAGGACCTGGCGCAAGGTGCACAAGGACCAAGCAAGTCCGACCAGAATCCCCATTGCCAGAATGCACACTGTACTCCAAGCCACCAAGGGCCAGAAATCGCCAAACATCCACAAACGTGACTTATCGCTGAGATAACTTGCCCATCCACCACCAGTGGCGCCTGATCCGGCGTGAGATCTTGTAGACAAAGCCTGACCAATGGCCCGTTCAACAAGTAGAGACACGCTCCACCACCCCCACCGCAATTCCTCACCAGGTTCAGCTGGCCCACGTCCACTCGGAGACCCAGGTAGGACGGAGGGGGAAGGTGAGGGAGGTACTCCCTTCTTTCCTCCGCCAAACGAGAAGAAGGATCGGGGCGGCTCGCCCTCTGTGGTGATTAAAGGTAAAATTTCGGAGAACCTCACCACCAAGCAGGGTGCGCCCACCTGTCCACCAACCACCCCAAGACAGGGAGTGCTAGAAGACCGAGACGCACAGCGGCACCAGCCATGGCTTTGACAAAGTCCCTGTCACAAACAAATACTTAAGCGCAAAATTTTGCGTCAAGCCAACAGCATTCGCAGAACTTTACGTTATGTCTAACAAGCAAATCAAGTTCCTGGGAAGATTCGGGACTCTGAACACGCTGCTGCTGACAGATAGCTGCATACTCTTCGTTGATCCCGTGTTCGGATTGAGATACAACTGCAACCTGTTCAACTATCCGCTGTTCCATACCGGCCAGTTCCTGTGCTCTACCGATGAAGATCCTACGTTGTTCGCTTTCAGACTCCATCTCAGAAGCCCGAAATCCGGAAACCGCCCTGCGAAGGTCATCAGCAACCTGATGCATAGACTGCTCACGAAGTGCATCAAGCCTAGCGTTAGCATTCAGCCTTTGAACAAGCTCTGCGCGGATTCCCTCAGCATTGGCAACAGTCCCTTCAAGGTGACCAACAGCTTGTTCTTCACACGCAACCTTTCACGTAGTTCTCTAATCTCTGCCTCTGCGCCGATGATTTGTTGATTGTGAGCTTTGTCTCGCTCCTTCAACTCGGCGATCAATGAGTTTCTCTCCTGTATGTCGTTCCGATACTTGGAATTCATGCGTCGTGCTTGTAGCTCTGAAATCGCCCTCCAACGGTCCGACTGCTGAATTCTCTCTGCAGATCCTCTACACTGCTGTTCTTCGCTTTCCAAAGGCCTGCAGTATCGGTGAATGCCTGGTGTTGAAGTTCGATGTAGGCTTCTCTCTCAGCCTTCAGCAATGAGATAGCTTGTTCAAGATTCAACTGGCCTTTGCCCTCCTGCGACGCATCCGCTGGTGGGCGAACCAAGCCAGCGTCCCCATTACTCTGCGCAGCCATAAGATCAGAATCATCAATCTCATCTCCTTTTGCAGTTGCTCCCTTCCTCCTGATCAATCTGGAACTACTCCTTTCCTGGGCACGCTGTGTGTTTTCAAGACTCGACTTAGCTTTGTGAGTCGCTGAAGTTTTGCGCCTCGGCGAAGCAGTCCCCGTCTTTGAGGACGTCGAGACTTCCCGAATTGCACCAC